TTCTTTCTTATTCATAGCACCGCCTAACAAGCCCGCGGACTCGCGATTTTTCCTTCTCCCGCGTTGAAGAAATCGACGATAGCAGAAAAGAGGAAGTTTGAATTTTCCGTTTTCTTTTGCTGTTATCTTCGCCGGGATTTTCATGTGCACGCCCGAATATAAGAAGCCGACTTGCAGACTGACTTCTTAGTTTTCGATAGTAGCATTACTTTGTTAGCTAGCAAACTTGAATTTGCTCTTATCGAGGATGCGCGAACGCGTGCACTTTTCTTCTCGGAATTGACAAGTCACTTGGGAGAAGGATTTCCCCCGAGTCCGCTGGCGTAGAGATAGCAAGTAAGATGTGGATTTGGCCGAGACCAAAGCAAATAGTCATTGGAGCAGCGGCAGCTGCAGCTTTCGCGTGAGCGAGGAAAAATCTTGGTTTTCTATCGAGGAAGCTGGAGGCTTTCGCGTATACGCGCAGTTTAGCCACTTGCCGTTCGCTAACTAGAGTCGTTTCGCGATTAACGTTCACTTGAGAATTCAGAAGAGGTGCCCAGTCTTTTTCCCTCGCACCCTCGTTATCGCGCGCAAAAAGAGCTCTCTTTGGCTCGGGGACAAGAGAAAAATATAATAAAGGGTCTCGGCTACTTAAGGCCAAGAAATAACATTGAAAGAGAGAGCGAGCAAAATGGAAAGAGAGCGCATCGTCGTCGGCGGCGGCGGCGGGCTTTCCTCGGGGCGCGTGACGTTAATTGTCCCGAGTGAGAAAAGAGCGAAGAAGCCGACGCTGGCGCCGGCTCGCGCACGATTTGCATAGGCGGCCGCTCAAATGAAGCGTCTCGCAATGTTCCCTCCGAACCGCGGCTCCGTTATCTTCTTGTTACTCTCGTTCCCTCTTTTCCTTCCTCTGCCGCGCACGCGCTCACTGCGCCAACAATATTGCACTATCTTTTATTTGTTTGTCTCACACTCGACTTCGTCGAATCTTCTTTCATTTATCTACTTTTTTTACCTCAAACATTTTTTATTCTGTTGACTAATATAGCTTGTATTAAAAATAGCGATGTCGCAGTGCTACAATTGCTATCTATTCGATCTATCAAAAACGAACAACGAAACGATTCAGTGAAGACGGCGATGACCTTCGAGTTATTCAGGCAAATTATCCAATTGTAAAACCCCAACCAAGCAATTCTTAAAATAAAGCTCTTCATTCAGCTGTAATAACAATGAAGCTCATACGAAGAAAAGGTCGTTAGGTGGAAAAGAGTTGCCAGCCACAGAGAGTTAAAGAGAGAGAGAGAGAGAGAGAGAGAGAGAGAGTAGGGGAGGAGGTGGGAGGAGAACGCGAATAATGCTGCGTAACAAGATTCGTTAATGTCGCGGAACGCGCACGCGTGTAGTTGGCGAGCGAGTCGCTGCTGTTGCTGTTGCATTTGCTCCGTTATAATCAGCCATCTGCGTAATTGTATCACGAGGCATTAGGGTTTCCACGCGGGGCCGATGCACTTCACCCTCTCCCTCTTGCTGTGTCTGCGCGTACACGCGTATATCTGTAGCTGTACGGTCGGTGCGTAGATGCGCGTGTAATGTGATTGTCTCCCTCTCTGTCTCTCTGTCTCTCTCTCTCTCCCTCTCTCTCTCTCTCTCTCTCTCACCCGTGAGCAATCGAACGTGCTATCTTGGCAATGCTATTTAAGAATCAACGATGATTTCCTTGTGTATGAAACGTCGGTAGTTGTGAATTATTCGGATAAACTGCTATTTTTTTTCTACTTCTCCAGTCTAAATCAGCCGGTTTTAGTCATTACAAGTACTTATTGAGACAATTGCGTTGATACTTTTCTTGGTAGAGTTTGATATGCCTAATAACCCATTTTAGAAGTTTCATAGCGTAAAAGGCAGTGCAGTCAAAGTTTTTTTCTGTGAATTGCAAAATGTTTTAAGCGCAAAATATAGTATTAAGCGGTAACATTGTGAAAGATGAGAGCTTTGTTCAAACAAAATATTTCCGTTTGCATTAGAGAGCGAGAGAGAAGTTTTCCATGTCAGTGCCTCATCTGCATAAATTTTTTATACATTCCACAAAATATCCATCCGAATGACTTTGATCGTTGATCATTTGAATTTTTACAAAAATATCACATTTATTATATTCTCAGATGAATAACTTGTACACGGAGAAATACGAACCACTTGAATATTTTATGAAATTTAATGAATAATTTGCTTGGTGAATAAGAGCTTAGCAAAAATACAGCACAGAAACACACGATGCAAAGATAAAAGGAAAAAAATTAGCTTCGACCAGAAACAAATGAAGAAGAGTTTCGTATTTATGTATTATTCAGTTCGTGAATTTTCAACACGAGCAAAAAAAAATTTAGTATTTCTGAAAATGTACGCTCTTCCGATGCCCTATACGAATGAGTTTTGGCTTTTTCATAGAGCTGCTACACTGTCTGTTGGTGTTGGGGTGTGGAACGAGTTTATTCGATTCAGTGAGAAAAGAGACGCGTCTCTTGGACGAACGGGAGTAGCAGTAGTAGTAGCAGTCCGCTAGGATACGTGAAAATTCAATTTACTTTTTCCACCCGCTCACTCTTACACGCGACAGGCAGCCTTGCCTGAGGCTGAAAGATCAGAAGATGGCGGAGGATGTGTATGCAGGTGATGGTGAATCGAGAAAAACGCAATAAATAATTGATGCATTTGAATTTTTCTCCAACGCGATGAATTTTCCGATATTATTCAGCTTCTTTTTTCATGCTTTTTGAAAAATGCATTAAGCAATTTCATTATAATTTGGTTATTGGATTTTTTATTAATTCAATTCAAATCTGATTTTTTCAATTAACCACTTGCTTTAATGGATGATAGAATTTAATGGAAGATAGAATACGCCAGATGGACTATAACTTTATCTGAAATAATAGAAAATTCATTGGGCGATTGTTAGTTGAATTTAGATTCAAAAAGACTGAAAACTGGGAGCTTGGATATTTTATTGAAAGCATTGGGAATATAGATATATATTTGCGTAGACGAGTTATATATGTAAAACAGTTAACTTGGAATAAATGTCTGAAAGAAATGCATAATACTATAATGGTATATATGATGCGAGCGCACAGTTATATATATACAGGTATATGCAAGCTCGAGCAAGATTTATAGAAATCCCAAAGCAAAACAGGATACAACAGCAAGGCTAAGTCTATTATACATTTCGCGCAGGTATGCATTGCTACAAGAAGGGCAGGCGCGTCAGGAAGAGGAGGATGAGATGGTACATTGGTTATGCAAACAGCTGTTCGGCCATGTATCTCGCAAGCCTCCTTTTTATTTTGGCTTAGACAACAATGCACTTAGCCTGCGGGACGAGACGTAAGCTAAGTAAAGCTCTATCCCCATTCTTATCCAACCACTGCATCTCGAGAAATTTTCTTGCTGCGATGCTTTATAAGCATAAATACGCGTGCCAATTCACCGATGCTGTCGCCAACGTGAAAGAAATGAGAGCGCGTTATTACGTAATTTAAGTTTCGCATTCAGCGGAACAGAGAGAAAAAAATAAAGATTCTTACCGCTGAATTACTAAGTTTCTCTAACGTATTTCAAGTGAGAAACTTGAGAAGGATGTTGAACTAACAATGATATCACTGCTTGACGCTCATTCGTTGATGTTGACTAGTTAAATTACGAATCGGCTGGAAACTAAATGATCAAAAATACAGTTTTTGAAATTTTTATTTACTTTTTTTAAAGCTGGCGCACGGGCTTTTGGGAGCGGATTATACTGCAGCTTTCCTTTGTAGCTCACCGCATATAGGTATAGCATTTATAATATTAATTTTCATGCTGGCAATATTCCAGCCGTCGATGCAATAACCACTCAACCGTATTTGCATGCTCAAATACATTCGCAAATATAACCTCGGAAGTAAAACCGAAAATCGTATGAGTACCATAGGCGCGTGTTCGGCAGTAACGTATCAAACAGCAATTGATAAGCGAATGTCTCACGAAAGAAGAGTGGAAACGGAAAATAGCTAAGCAGACGAATTTTCGCGATATCGCTGGAACGTTCGGCAAAAAAGTGCTGCGGCAAGTCCGGCGATCGCCAGCAAACTTATAGACATAGCAAATTGTCTCGTTCACTTTGTCAGAGAAAAAAGAAAGATTACAAGATACATTTCGAGGCTCGATATTACATGTTGAAGTGTTTGGATCGCAAGTGTGCGAAGCACAGAGTGATATTATTGCAATTTGATGAGCTGCGAGAGCGTTCAGTCGATAGAAGGAAATAAAGTTGATACCGTGAGGCCGCCTGGGGATGAGAGATACATGACCCGTTTCTACCGCGCAGCGTCCTCCTTCTAGTATACCTATACGTAGGCAATTTCTTATCCGCGAGCGCTTCCGTAAATAAGACTAGAACGAGTATACGACGGAGATACATACGGGCAACAGGTCTACACACGCGCGCACGCATACACGCACACGTGTATCTTTTGCAAACTCGCTCATCCTCTTTCTTGCATCTGTAGCTGTTCTTGAACGGACTTATTAAGTAATAGTCTAGCGACGTGTAGCACCGTGAACGACAAGTAATCCTCAGTAATCTGTAAAATCATTTGCTACGTGAAACTCAACTAAGGCAGTAAGGTAAACAGGTTTCTCACTTTATGCATTCGAGTGCTTTTTTCCGTTATCTTATTTTACTGAATGCTAATTATTAATTTAACTGTGACACTATACGTCGAATGATTAGCCAATAAAGGAGCTTGGTAATTGATGGAGAAAGTACATGAAGATCAGGAACGTTTCCTTCGTCACAAGTAATATACCAGCTAATGGTCAGACGATAAAAGAAATACATGTACATTCTTTATTCAAGGAATTTTGTACATTAATTACTCTTACAACTAGATTGGCTTATCACTGAGTCTACGTAACATTAAGATAAAGATACGAAATTAAATAATCAAGTCTATCAGTTTATCGTAATCATACATTAAATTAGAATTTACAAATATATACTCTGGTTGTATTCGTAACTACTGACAATGTGTCAGAATATACAATGAAGAAGCTCGTAAAAATCGAACTCTATCGTCACGGAATTTGATTAATTTTTTTACAAAATCATCAATACATTTACATATAGACCGTCGAAACTGAATGCACCAGAGCAAATCTTCGATCTCGATCCTCGAAACCCAACTTACTCAGCTTTCGACCTTCGATGCGGTTTCTTCGTCGTATTGAATAGATGGTACCATTGGTGGCTTAAATCCGTACTCAATCTTCGACTGCCTAAAGTTACCTTTCTGATGCCTAGCCGGATCATGATTACGTGCTCTCCTAGACAATGACGATGGCGTAGAACGAGATGCGAACGATTTCTTCGGTTGAAATGTCTGCTGTTGCCTTTGAAGTGGTGGTGGTCCAAGGAAATCGCTCGGCCGTTGCATTGCAGTGTGTCTTCTGTGAATCAGACTATTTGACTTTGGCGGCAGATACGAATTGTAGGAATGCTTCTTAGAGAAGGGATTCTGTTCAAGATTGGCTTCTACAGTAGCCGGTGGAATTACTGGATTTTCGTACAAGTAACGTTGAAAATGTTGGCTGAATAACTGATGCGAGTAGTGTTCAGGATTCTGAGGTTTCATGGCCTGCTGGTAATTGACACCATAGTGCTGTTGACCGTAGTGTAATGCTTGTAAAGACGGCGATTTCTCAATATACTTCGGAGTTTCAACAGGGTATGGTACCTTCTTTTCCACTAGTTTTTCTACAATCTTCTCAATGGGCATAGGAATGTGGATAGGTTTCTCCACTGCGTACGGCCGTGGAATAGGAATATGAACGGGAATCGGAATTTTCTTCTCTGCAACTTTTTCAACGTGAACGGGATAAGACTGAGACACTGGTATTTCGACGGTAATCGCAAAAGGCTGTGGCACTGGAACTTTCTGATCTACAACATTTTCTACGAGATATGGTATTTTCTGCGTCACGTGGTCTTCTTCTCCAATAAATTGATCTTGCTTTGGAGGGATAGTTTGAAGTTGATCCTGATGGCCGATGTCACTGTTATAGGAGTCATTTTGCTGCTTGTTCAATTGGATCAGTTGCGAATTTGTTTGGTACTGTTGAGTTTTATCTCGTTGTACATTATTCTTCTGCACGAAGTTATTATCCAAAATGTAAGTAGCAGGAGGTACAACATAAATTGGCTCATTTCCACCGGCAACTTTCGAGTAGGTTCCAGTGATCTCGTAGTTGATATCACCACGGGGCTGGCTCAACTGTTTATTATTCTCGTCGGCATTGTTGATAAAGTATTGCGGCTGCTGCTGCTGCTGCTGTTGCTGCTGTTGATCGATTTGCGTTACCTGAGTGGGTAGCATGCCAGGATAATGTATCTCGTGTTGGGGCGAGCTGTGATAAATCTCGATCGACTTTTGAATCTCAACTACCGAATCCTGTTGCCGAGGCTGCGTCGATGTATGCGGCTGTGTCAGCGTCGTTAGCTGTGGTTGTACGGTATACCGTTCTACCGAGTTCTGTTGGCCACCAAAGGCCGGATTGATGCCCATGTATCTCGAAGCTTGAGTTTGAGTCTGAGTTAAAAGCGTAACGTCGTGATGTTGAGTAAGTTGCGCGGGTTGATCAAAATCATCAATTTTTTCTTCGACCGGTGCTGGCGAGCGAGCATCCTCAGTTCTACCGATAAGATGCACTTCACCTGCATTCACAAGAGCTACTCCTGCTTGGATAGAGTTGAGTATGCGTGACGAGGCAGTATCGTCTTTGTATTGCAGAGGATTCGGGGTAGTAGGGGATTTGTCGTCCTCGCACTCAAAGGTGGTGCTATACTGGAAAGGTGGTTCTTTATGCGGCTGAGATGGCTCCGCGACAACAATGGGCTTGGAGAACTCGTATTTGTTCGAGCTGCTCTTCAAGTTGGCTACGTTGCTTTCGATCGAGTTGGCAGTAACGCCGTTGTCCAGTGGCGGCAGAATTGTTGACGTGAAGTAGTTTAAACCTGGTAAGACGCTCGGCAGATAATTTGTTGGAATTGGCTGTTTGTTCTTCTGCTGGAATCTGCCGTGGTAGTAGCGCCCATCTCGAGTGACACTGGGCAATGAGTCGCCTGTGCTAATTCCACTGCTGTGAATGGAACTAGCGGTTGAAGACGAATAAGATGTATCAGCTCGCACGCGAGCACCGAAGCCTCCAGTATTTTCGACGATCAGCTGATTCTCCTCGGAGGCCAATGACGATGATAAGTCGTTTTCTTGCGACGTAAGATGATCGAATTGTTGCTGATAATACTTTGCTTGCTTTGTCGTCGATGAGAAAGCGTCGCTAGTCGGCGAGAATATCGTCTCGTAGATCGACTGCGTCGGTGCATTGGTGACGTAATTCATGTCCACTAAGTTCGTCGACTCTGATTGTTGCGCTGACACACTACCGGAACTGCTGCTTGATGACTGATGGTCTGTGTTCGATATATTGCCACTGTACACAATGTCTTGCTGATATGGTACCGTTACTTGCGCAAGCTTCTTTCTCTCCCTTGAAGGTGTTAGATATGTTAATGACGGCGTTCCCTAGAAAATATTGGAGTTTTCAAAAACACAGAAAACCGAAATTTAATGTTGATGAAATAAGCTGAAGGCGATCAAATATCAATCAGGCTTACATTGTCACTGTCGTAAGTTTGAACAGCACCGAAGGCCAAGCTCGCAGATGAGCTGCTGTGATCATCGGACAAGCTGTACTTGACGAGCGGATGATAGCCCCAGTCGTCGGCATAATACTTGACGTCGGTCGAGGCTTGTTTGGAATTCACGTAGTATCGACCAGTCGCATGCTCACCATTGCGTGCCTCGGTCTTGGATTGTTGCACGTCTCCGGAATCGTTTTCGATTTTGTAATTGTAATGATATGATGATGAATTCTGAAATGTCAAAACGATTCGTTTCTGAAGTTATTGTTCCGAATATATTGCAAGTCTTTATTTTTTCTTTCGCACATTTGCCTGTGGAATTTTAGATTTAGAAAGTTGCGCCCTATGAAAGTTTGTAAAACTTCAATTCCTTTCTATGCTTGAAGATTAAAAGTTAGAGAATAAAGTTTTGGATAAAGTTTGTTGTTAACTGTGGAGTGCTTCAGGTATTTTTTCTTGTTGTAATTTATGTTTGAGTTAACAGCAAAATAGCGACAGGCGATATTATAAAATTAGCTATAGATAAAGTGTATGAATTTAAAAGTTTCCATTCAAGGAGATACGTATTTTTGCAAAAAACAATTTTTCTTTATTTCAAAAGAAGGATTCTAGCTCAATAAAAAAATGTTCTGAAAGCCCATAAAGTAAATGATAAACAAACGAAATTCATAAAATTCAAAAGAGAAATTAGGGAAAAATACAGACTGTCGGGTCGTATAGTATAACTCAGAGTTGCAAGTTATTTCGAGACGGTGAAACCGGTCATTCATCGCAGCAGCAATTCATCTTGGCGCGAAATATTAACGAGCAGGTCTTTCGGTCGAGCGAGATAGCGTGGCAGCAGTCGCCGCCGCCGCCGCGTGTGAATTATTATTGAGCTAAGGTGAAAACACGATGTGGTGGTAGGTTACAGAAGAAAAGTAAAAGAGGATGGGCGCGGATGCGTGAAAGTGTAACTGGATGCGCCGGCAATCGCGCACATACGTGTGTGTATAGCAGAGACGAGGCCCGCAGGCAGTTGTTTCTAGGGCAAACAGTATGAATGGAAAGTCGAACACACACGCACATAATCGCGACAAGTGCAGCCTCCTCCTCTCCTTGGAAGATACAACTCTCGCGCTATCCTTTTTTCTTTTTTCTTCATTTCTTTTTAGTTCTTTTTCTTTTCAAGCTTTCGTTTCTAGGTTGACTTGCGATTGATTGTACGTTTCTACACGATTATGACGGCACTCAAGACGACCCTCTACTTAGTCGGCTGTTTGTTTTGACGACTGAGATATTGATTTACAAACTCTTCGAAAGATTCTCTCAGTTAACAGCACGAGATGCGCGACTAGTAGTTCACAGCTTTGAATTTTTCGTATTCTGAACGTGCAGGTGATAACTTTTTATTTTTTTATTAGATTATTGAATTTGAAAGATTGAAAATTAGAGAATAAAGTTTTAGATTAAGTCTATTTTTATGATAACTGCCCTTCAGGTATTTTTTTTTATTTATTTTTACGCAAAACTTATAATATACTATTAATAGACTTAATTCCAAGCTTAATTTTCAGTTTTTTTAATAAAAATATTGATTTTTACAGTTCAATCCTCACGTTTCGGCAATAAATTGTAGTTTATTTTCAACCGAGAAACTATCCAAAATCCTATAAAACAGTCCACTCCAAACTTTATTTTGGAAACGTAAAGCGTATTGGCGCTCGTAAACTATCAAATTTTTTCCCCACGCACGAAAAAATTTGGTTTCCCTTTTCACCTTTGCAACTCCGTAGCGCAGTCGTAAAAAGCATACTCGCAGTGGAGAAAAATATAAACACAGAGGATTGCAGTGGCGAATATGCAGGGCGAAAGAAGCGAGGCAACTTTTCCAAAGTGCAGTTAGGGTATCCGGTGAAAAGTGGCGTCCAGTGTCCTTTATCACTTATCATCGAAAGTTTGCCCGGCGACGCGACGGTGCAGGCTATTAAGACGTTGTGCGCACGGGAGCTATATACGTTGGTGGGCCAGACAGTAAGCGACCGTTAATATTATCTTATAAGTGCGCTATTAATCCTTGCGTCGCTAGTGTCGCCATAAATCTGCTCAGCCAGCGCGATGCTTCATAATGTGGTTGCACTCGCCATTCTTGACCCACCCCAAGTTATAAATGTTCCGATAATAAAACTTTCGCTGGCTCCCCCTCCCCTCCCTCTGCTCCAACTTCTAATAGATAACATTCAAAACGCCCCATTTAACGTCCTATAATCGGAATTTATCTTTCGATCATAAGCTCGTGTCGACGCGAATCGCCTTGCACGTCAAAGTTTCATTTTTCACAAAAGATACCGAGACACCTGTCACCAGTGGAACAAGTTTTCTTCGTCGTTTGATTTGATGGCTTATACACAGGTCATTCGAAACTTTTACAGACTTATTTGGACTGCTTGTCAATTATTTACGTACGTTAAAGTCAACCGGATACTAGTGTATACTTTCTACAGAAATATGCTTGTCCAACTTGTATTACAAAGTTTATACATCGATATGTGAAAAATTGAGCACTTTCGCACAGTACATGCGATTCGAGGTCATTCGAGCAATTTGTTAATCTTTTATAATATACCTGAATGTGGCGTGTGTGTGTGCTTTGCCGGAGTAACGTCTTTACCTAGTTTGGCAGTTGCGTGCCCGTGTCTGAATGCATGCTCGCGGCTAACATAAACTTTCTAACTTGCTGACGGGGCTTTTGCTACTTTTAACTATTACTATATCGTTTAATAGCTTTGACTATGCTAATTAATGCAAACTCTCAAGCTATCTATAACGAGCATTTCTCTTTAAAGCTTCAACAACATGTTTTTTGCCGCAGCTTAAGATTCTAATTAGGAGCGCTCGAGTAGCGGTAAAAATTTTCGCGCGATAGAACGCGCGCGTGGGTGTGTCGAAAGCCACAAGGCTGCTTTTCAACCTGGGTAATTTTTCCCTTGCCTCCTTTCTCTTTGATATCGCGCCAGAGAAGTTTTGTTCGCTCGCGATAATTCATCGCCGAGCTTTGTATGTGTTTCTCGGGGCATTTTTACAAAGTTTTGCAAGGAGAGCCGACGCGATGATGGCGCGTATTATTCAGAATAGTTTTCTTACGACGTTATCAGTGAAACGCGCTATGGGGCTTTTCGTAAGATTGATCATACCGTGGAAAGCCATTGTTGACGATAAGATCGTAGAAAGTGATTATTTCTTTTTTCCTCTTTTCGAAAATTTCAGCATTTTCGCTATTCAAGTAGTCACGCGGTTTCGCAAAATCATTGTTGAAGTAGAAAGCTGACTGAGTAAAAGGGGAAAAAATTGATTACATTCAACGTTAATCATCCATCGTAGCATTCAAAAATTCATTAGACTGTCTTTTCGAGATTCTGTAGACGGGCTATTTGTAGTCCAGTTCTATAGAAGGATAAAACACCTCGTAATAATTCGCGCTACGAAGAGAGGCATCAAATATTCAGTATTCACGGTAAGACAGTGTCAGCGCAGGGCGTGACGGTAGAATTGTATAAACTTGAACTTTGTTCATCACGACATATTTCTCGATGTTTTCGGATAAAGTTGGATGAGTGACGAGCGCCCGTCTACAAGTTCATCCACCGCCTTGGCAATCAATTAAACAGCTCGTTGGGCAAAAAGACAAGTGGCGCGCCTAATTAATAATAGTTTGGCGCGGATACATGCGTGCAAGAAGCTGTAATCGAGAGATCCGATCGCTTTCGTGTTCGACACAGACCGAGAGCATAAGCACGTGTATCGATTACACGTATTCCAAGTGTGTCGGCTACTAACACACGCGTACACGCCCGATTACGACTTTCTTGGAGCAGCAGCTGGAGCAGCGCATAACAACTGCGCAAGGCCGCGCGCAGGATCATAGCCGGTTCCCCAACAATTCTCTTGCTCGCGCGCGCGCACCCCTATTGTTCGACGGATTTACTTAGGCGAACGAGCTTATAATGCTCGGCTAATATAGTCCACGATCCACATGCATAGAATGGAACTATCTCTCGCGAATGCCCCGATCCATATCACCTATCAGATACTTTTCAATGGATAAAATACATGCATATATAGACGGCGCGGCTGCAACGTCTGAATTTTGCATTTGGCACACTTTCTCAGCGCGATGGCGCGCTAAGTAGACGTGGAGGCGTATTACAGCAGAAGAAAGCCAGCCGAAGCTTATAAATATGGAAATACCCTTGGCTCTATTAAAGTTGCGCGCCTCGGCACCCACCCTGCCTGGCTCCGAACGAGCCAACGAACAAACCTTCCTATTCTTGACGCGTGATTGGCATTTCGCGTGCTCGCTTCTTCGCTCTCTCTCCCCCGACAAGCTCTCGCACGGGTTTTCCACGTTTCCGCCTTTTCTCATTTCGAGATACGTCACCAGCTTGACGAGAGATGCTATGATAAAGTGAAACAGCCGTGACATGGCTTTTCTACGTCTCCAGCCACGGTAATCAATGTCTCCCCCGTCTCTCTCTCTCTTTCTCTGTCCCTCTCTCTCTCTCTGTCCCTCTCTCTCTCTCTCTCTCTCTCTTGGTCTCTTGTGCGAAGAAGAGAACGGCGGCTTTGTAATGGGACTATTTTCGTCGCTTGATTAGCTCGCCACCCGAAATCTCATTAATATCCATCCGCGTGCATATTCGTGCGATTGGCGAGCGAGGAAATCGTACGTAATCCAGTCTCGAAATGAAAAAAGAAAGGACGCGAGAGAGAGAGAGAGAGAGAGAGAGAGAGAGAGAGAGAGAGAGAGAGAGACGAAGAAAAGAGATCCGATAACGAAATTTTCTGAAGCATTTATTATCGCTGTCACGTAGCTGCATGCCCACGTGTAGCAGCAGCTCTCTTATAGTGCGCTGTGCGCAATGAAGCCAGCGAATCTACGGTTAATGGAAATAAGGATTCCATGGTTAATTGAAACGGGAAATTTAATTAAGAGCAAAACGAGCAAACTCCTGTATCCGCGTTACACACTCTCGTGCTCGCCCGACTCGCAAGAGCCCAGCGTGCAACGGTAGTTTTGTTTTCTCTGTGTACTTTACGGGACGACGTCTGCGATCACTATTGTAGTACTTAGTTGCCCCCTTTTTTATATGAGCAATAATATTAGCTAAGTTAAATAGGCAATTACGAATCCATTTACTCAACGCTGTATGGAAACTATGAGTTACGGGTATGCGGTAACTATAAAAGCCATTAGACGTGTCAATTACGCGTAAAACCGTAAGTGGCATATCGAATTTCCCGCATATGAAAATTCAATTAGCTAACGCGAGGAAATGAAGCTGAGAGAGGAAGCAAGAGTGAGGTGTGAATACAAGTACACACATAGATGAGGAAATTCATTGTAATTATCATGTTACTGTGAGGTATAGTGCGCGTACAACGTACCTTGTCATTATCGGGCTGCTTCACGTAACCAGGAGTTAGAGTAGCTGTGGTCGCTACCAGCAGTACGCTTACAGTAACCTGAAACAAACAACCGAAGAATCGATCAGATATTTTCAACACACGCGCGAATTTCGTGGAGAGTCGGGAGGTCGAGTGAAACAGTTTTTCGACGCTTAATTTATTGTAATATCTAGCGCAAACTCAGATCGTCAAGTTGCAAAAGCCGATAGCAGACAAAAGAGGGAGTTCTGATGTTAATCCACTGAGAATCGCTTTTGTCAGCGCATCTCAGGCCCGTAAGCTTGGTGAATGCAAGAGTAAGTGAGCGAAAGAGAGAGAAGGGGAGTAGGCGGGAGAGGCGCAAAGTAAACATCAGCGGCTTTAATTAAGCTTCCCAGCCAGTAGCAGCACCTTATCGCTTGCGGATAACCACACCGCGGCAAAGAAAAAGAGACAGAGAGTAGAGAGACTGGATCGTAAATAAAGTCTAAGTTTGGTATTTCTATCTGCGCGAAGGAGGCTTGGTGAACAACTTCTAATGCGATACTTGGGCGAACGCGCGCTAGTAGTGCACGCCAAGCCCGCCGATGACAAAAGTTAGTTCACTCAGCCAGGGCGACTTACTCGCGCTGAGGTAGTTTCGCGCTTTACGCCCAGATTGCTGCTTGCCATAGGTTTTCTCACACTCTTCCACTCTCTCTCTCTCTCTCTCTCTCTCTCTCTCTCTCTCTCTCTCTCTCTCTCTCTCTCTTTCTAGATATGTGTGTGTGCGTGCGTGTGTGTGTGTGTGTGTATACGTCTGTGTGTGTATACATATATATATACGTCATGAGACTCTTGAAAGCCATTCTTTGGCTTCTCTCGTCATACTTTTTCTTTTTCTTGGGCTCCGTCTCTCTCGTCGTTTTCTTCTCGTTCTTTTTACAACCATCCGCGCCCTTAGCTTTTATCGTCCGCATCAAAGTTCCAGACGTATTGCGCAGTAAGCTCGCGCAGATTACGGACTCCATGTTGCTGTTTGCACAGTAGCGGCAATCTACGGTCATCCTTACAAATTAGCTACAACTCGTTCGCTCGCTGCCAGAGATATACGTGTGTATGCGTCTACATAATCCGAATAGTACACTGTTGTGATGCATAAATCCGAGAAGAGACGAGTGTATAGCAGGTGGGGGAGGTTCGTCAATATCCTCCCTTTCTCAACCGACGACTCCGTAAAGTTCTCGTCCCCAGGCGGACACATAGATACATACACATACGCACGCTCTACTCGTAACTCTGCTCGGCATCGTTTTGCCTTGGGGCTGAAATTCATCCTTCTCTCGTGGCCATTCGACGCCCAGCTTTATATCACCTTACAAAGCACGCACGTGCACCACAGCTCAGCAGCCCGAGGTTCGCCGGTACTCAAAGCTGCGAGATGCCTCGTATCAGGGTACATCGAGTCCCATGTACATTCCTCGAAAGGAGATTTCCAAAGCTGCACATACCCCATCTATAACTTCTTTTTACTTTTCAAAGATTGCAATAGATTTTTGTGAATCCCAATCGATTCAAATTCTTTCTACATTAGCATTCGAACGCGGAAAGTCATTAGGCGATGATTCTTTAACGACGGCCGTTGCCGCATGCGCAATTGTTCAATCGCGCAAGTATAATGAAAAGCCTTGAACACAGCGTCAAAGGAGCAGAGCGAAGTTTTCCGAAGGGAGTGCCGCTGCCAAAGACAAAGAAAAAGGAGAAAGGGCTGCTGCTGCCCGAGGAAATTGAGATTCTCCGCGAATATGGTAGGGGGCTGCGAGATTTGCATAAGGCAGAGCGCGAGAGAGAGCCCATGGCACATAATCCAGGTATAGAGGAGAGGGGGCTGGTTTGGCTTTGTGGCCGCAGGCACGTACATCGGATATAATATTAGACGGGCCACTGTTATGGAAATCCTGAAGCCGCTACTGCCACCGTACGCGCTAGAATATATTCTTCCGGACGGATCGCTGCTCGGAATTTCTGATCCACAGGATCGCCCGAATAAAGCGCTCGATGTGTGTTTTCGCTCGATTTCGATGTTCAGCGCACTTTTTCCCTTTCTTCTTTTTTTTGTTATGTATAAAGTCCAAACTGAGCTAAGATATAGGTATATATACAGCTTGTGCGAGATATCGCGTGCCGAATTTGGCTAAAATGGGATACTCCTTGAAGCGTCACTCAGCGTCGATTTGAATAATTAATGCTGTTGATCAGAGACGACGCCTGTCGAGTATATTCGGAGTTAAGTTGATTTTTCGAAATGCTGTAACCTCAGTATTCTCGAAATACCCTTAACTCGATAAAACATTATTATATAATTTGCCCTGAAATGAATTTCGCATTACCTTCCGAACTTTCATAAAATCGCCTGTTAATGGAATATAACGTTGTTTCTAATGCCAAACATAATTTAATCTTATCTAATTTATAGATGAGAGAGCGTACGGCTACACATGTATTGGCAAGTTTGGCCCGAATTCGAGGCATCAATTACTGTCAATGTCTGAAAACGTTGAGTCCATCCTCAGGTTCAAGCAGCAAGTCACGCGTTCTCGTGCACCGCGCAAGATCATGAAAAAGTCAGGATGCGCAGCTGTCCTTCGCAGTGGAGTCCTTCAATCACTAAAGACCGCAGCGTGCCAGTAACGCGCGAGCGAGCGAGAGAGAGAAAGAGAGAGAGAGAGAAGCCAAACGCGATGAAAAATAGCGGAACTGCGGAGCTGAGTAGATTGAGGACTGAATAATTGAGACAAAGCTAGAGAGCGAGAGAGTTTCTGAGTGTGTAGGTGCCTCGTAAAATATCCATCCTCAAGGAAAAAAGCCTTTGAGAGAGGAAGTGGGAGACTGACGATCGATCTCTAGTTCGCGGTAGCACGCTTCTATTAGCGGCGCTGTGAGATCAGGCCGGCTGATAACCTAGAGGTCGATATAACGTGCTAATACTACTATTTTTCTTATTTTTTTCCGATATCCCCAGCAAATGTACCGTACATGCGTCGTATTCCATTGTTTTCGAGTGAAGAACTAGTGAAATCGACACGCTCGATTCAACGCGAAGCGTTGTTTCCCTTCGATTATCGATTCTGAAGAAGGGAAAACCATTAATGCTATATATCGAATCTTCCTCTTTAAATGCTTTCCACTTTATTCAAATTTATAAGTAAGATATAGTTAATATCACTATAATGCAAAATATGCCGAGAGTTCGGTCTACTTTTAACAACGCGATATATGATTGGAATCGGTTCTTCTGTAGATCTCTGTGCAACACCTCGACACGTTCACGTGGCCGAGACATTCACCTTCTCCCGCGCACGGCTGTGTGAATGTATATGCTGAAGAGGCTAACGTAACTGTTTTAGCGGAGGCGGCGCCGGCTGCGCTACATATATCTGCATCTCTCGAAAACCTGTTGCAGGAGCGTATGGCAGCCAACCGTTCGTAGATTGCTGCATTTTTAGGTGTCGGCCTGATTGATACCTCCATATATGTACGCGGCAGCGTTTACTTTTTATACGTCATTAGTCGTACATCCAAACTACTTATTAACATCGGCCCCACTTACAACGTCGCTAGCTGCACGTACACGAGGATAAATCGTTTAACGGTCAGCGTCTCACTCCCTCTCTCTCTCTCTCTCTCTCTCTCTCTCTCTCTCTCTCTCTCTCTTTGTGCACGGCATACGTTTTTTGTTTTCAATTGTTTTTTTTCACTTTCTCGCCGAAAGGTCATACTTTCTCTTTGAATTACATTTATTATCTTTAGTGTTAAGCATCATCATAATTTTACGTTTCTTTCTCTTCCAATAAAGTGCGTTCGTTATTAGTGCAAAATTCAACGATTATCTTCAGATCTATGGCACTTTTAAACATCTCATAAAATGCCTTTTTTAGAGTAATGGACTGTCGTCGATGTTTAATGTTTTTTCGTGGTAATTTATCTTTTTCAAGTCGTGACGTACGACGATTCAACTTTCGATCAATTAAAAAATTGCGAACCACACGTTAGAAGATAATTAAGAAATACCACCTACATGACTATCGTGATAATACACGAAAAAAAGAACAAAAAAAAATTCAGAGAGCAGAAAGACGAAACAGTCGAAAAATCGGTCAGTGGATCAGTGAAAACTATCGGCCTCGATAATGTCGGCGACGAAAGTAACCATCGCGGTGGTAGGTCTTAGGTTTCCGCATACGAGAATTACGTAATAGATGTACAGCTTACCGGTACACGCAAAAAAAAAATATATATGTATCTATTGAGAGAGAGAGAGGGAGAGAGACGGCAAACACACGCCTATTCTATCATCATGCCAGTGCGTTGACATCTATTGCGCGAAAAGTCCCGAGGAAATTACACGAACTTTCCTTTGTCGATTGATTTGCTTGTGCAATTTAATTACCACATGAGGGCTCACTTATTTCTCTTTTGCTCTTTGATTCTGTTTCCACTGTTTAAATTACGTTGGTATTTGACTCTGTGAACTACGAGCTTTGCTATTTTCAATGATTAAAATGTTTTTCTAGTTTTTTTTGTTAAAGACTATAAATAAGAGCCGGGCTTCAAAGAATTTCTGTTTGACTTATTTATTAGAGTAATTTCATTAATCATTGACTTTTCGTTTTCATAGGTCTTAATAGAAGTAATTTTTAAATAATACACTAAGTATGATAAAATAATATATGATTATTAAGAATTAATTGATATAACAATAATTACATGTGATTAGGTAGAAAAAAATTTTTTATTACATCCACACAGCAATCACTTTAATTAAAGCAAAGATTATTAGATTCAGAGTTTCGTACGATCTAGAACAAAGCTCTAAATCGAGAGATAACATTTTGTTTTGAGCAAGTATTTATTATAACATAAAGTTCACATAAAGTCTTGATGATTTATTGACGCTTTCCCTCGTGAAATATCTGTACGCTAAACTTTGCTACCTTTTAAAATATAAAATGCTTCAAACATGATCCATAACTTAGGATGCTGTGCTCGATTGGTGTAAACAAAAACCTAAGGTATAGGTAAAAATCCTTTTGCCTACACTAATTGAGCATAGCGTTAACTAAGAAAAAACTGTGATAGGTGGATCAGTGATCAAATAAAAATGATCCATAATTGTTTAATCAGAATCACTATCTTGTTTGCTTTCAGATAAATTAAAACTTTACAATAAATTAAACAAAATAGCTAGATTTTTCTATTCCAAATAGTTTCCAAATGTTAGCAAGTATGATTTAACCGTTTTCAACACATCCAGTGAGAAAAAAGAACACCAAGAGAAAACAGATTATTCGGCATACTGCAATTCTTTATCTCTATGATTCCATTGTCCGCGAGAGCGAATGAAACTCCATCAAGTTATTCCTGCCCATTGGCTCCTGTTTTCTTTGTTTCGCTCACTTTTGCTTTTTTCTCTATTCTTTTTCGTCAGCAAGACAAGAGAGTGAGAATTTCGTGGCAAGCGAACAAAAATCCCGATTGAAAACTATGTCCGATATCCATGAGAAAAAAGTAGCTTGTATTACAAGGAAACTAGGTGGCGCAGCGCAAAAAAGTTAGAATAGTTTTAAATTCTGACATACTTCTCATCGGGTTCGTTTGGAATGCCTCATATCACCTTACCTCATTCGATCCAGTTGAAGCAAAACGTTAATCTTATCATACCGTTGGCTTTTAAAGTTGTTTAAATTTCTTTAGAGGATAAGAAAAACAAAATGAATTTCTAGATGAAATTAGAATCATCCGCAGATTAATTTATGACGAGAAAGTGCGAGACATTTTAATGGTTCATTAGATGGAATGTGCTAACGGCTAGATGCTATTGAATATTTTTCAATAGTAAGCTCATAATATTTTTATTGAAATGCTCAAAAATGAAAGGTTTATCTGATTTATTATCTCAAAATTTACTGATAATTTGCATGAATACTAAAATAGAGGATATAACGAATCGTTAGATAAATCTATTGTAATATAGTCGAACCATGAAAGTTAGATCAAAATTAATTTT